AAGAGTAACTGTATTCACTATCCACGGTTTCACAGTTAAGTCAACTTTTTGTGACCATCCACGTAAAAAGTCTCCGCATTAAAGTGGATTCCACTCAAAAACTCGGAAAACTCCCGATAAAATCTACGGACTTTTAGCTCAAGCATTTGAAATTTCATCCTCTTCATGGCATCATGCATGCACACACAAGTGTCTGCACCAGTCTCCCACTTTGTTTCATCCAGACCAGTGCTGTGTTGTGTTTAGTCCTGCCTTTGTTGTGTCTTTTCGTGCATGTTGTGGTGAATTATTTTATCATTTTTGTCGCCATGAGTTCTCAACCCAAACAGGGTGGTGCAGCACTCAAAAGGAAGCACACTAGCTATAGTTTAGATGTAAAATTATTAGTTATTAGGCAAAAGAGTGGGAGTGGATAATCCACCAGGTCCTGTTTCTTTTTCAGCCTCTGATTAATCCTCCTCTCCCAACACCCACCTCCATCAATCCAATCAAACCAAAAAATCTCTACCTTTGAAGCTAAGTAAATAAAAATATTTTTTGATAACATTATTTATTTTTAAAACATTATAATAAGTAATTTGTCTCAATGAACCACTGGAGTGAGTGTGCACCAACTGACACAACCTACATTGCCTCAACACACCGACCCCAATGAACCTTAAGGATGTTAAATAACTTATAAAAGTTAAATATTTTCTTAAAATAATGTGTTATCAAATGTTTAACAAATGTTTCTTGGTTAATAATTGTTAAAAGATATCATATAAATTTTTTGAGTGTTGTGTACAATGTCATGGTCCCAATTTGACCTATTTCCATTATTTATTATGGGATTAATTCCCAGCTTTAAGTGGATTCGTTATCAGAGGCATTTTTCCGGTCCCAATAAACCGCGGATAATGAGGACCCCCCTGTATATCAGCAATAAATATTCTGAGTCTTCCAGTGTCCTTGACAACTTTATCAAGTACTGCACAGTAGAGTACAGTCCTTAAAAATACAATTGACTTTTTAAATATTTAAGTAAAAGTGTGTGTGTGTGTGTGTGTGTGTGTGTGTGTGTGTAAAACACAATTTTAATCTACAGGTATATAAAAATAGAGATACTAGGCACAGATGATATTCAACACAATTATGAAGATAACAAAAAGGAGATTCCCTAATTGTGGAAACCAAAGAGATTTTAAAAGTAAGTGTAGACTACTACTTTTTTCATATACAGTATAGACATAAATCTTAACACTAACGAGCAAAAGTACAAACAAAATGAACTAAAAAGCTGCAAGAGAAGTTCATGTGTCATGTCAGAGTGTAATAAGGTTGTGCCTCATCTCAGTTGAAATCTGATACTACACAAACAATAATACAGTATACTGTACAGTGGTCTTCATCAAATATGTAATACTACAGACATTCCCCGGGTTACAGATTTCCGACTTTATGGATACTCTCCCCTGTCCATTTTCGGGTTGCAGACGAGCATCCTTTATTATAGACATCCAGTAATGTGGCATAGTGTGGAAGAGACCCGCACTACATTGTAAATTTTCAACTTGATTTGGGAAATAATTTCACTCAAACTCATCACACAAGTTGTTTGCTTGAATGCAGAGAGGCAGGTGTTGCTTTTTATGTTTCTATTTCCACCAAGTCACCATAGTGTTGACACTGTTTTTATCACTCAATACCTGCTTTATTTTGCAAGATGCAGTCACCTGCCCCCAAAAAGGTTAAAAGTGTGAACCTTCTTGTTAAAACCAATGATACCAATGTCAAATTGCCCAGTTCTAGAACATTACTGTAGCTTGTGTAAGGTGTATGAGGAAGAAAGAATCTGTAATGTAGATTAGGTTGTTTTATACTAGATGTACATATTTTCCTACCACGAAAAACCTTTATTTTTAAGCAAACATTATATTTTGGGAGGAAGCTGTACACAATTTCAAGCTACCCAAGCCTCATCCGTCATTGTCAATAAGTTAACTTAGCACAAATACGGATAACAGTTTGGACACATTTTCTCACCAGACCTCAATGACTTGCAGGGGACCACTGTACAACTGCCTGTCTGTTTTGGAGAAAAATATCTCCACTACTTTTGAATATTCACTGTACTAACTTTGGATTTCAAACCAAAATTATTACATTCTATGTCTTATTATAGGGTGGTTAATAAGCTAAGATGAATATTTCGGTAATTAATTCTTTGAAAATATTCCAGTTTCCTGGATAACTTAATATTTACAAAAAACTTTTTATGTTTATATATAAACATTCAGTGATGTATCTGGCTTAAGACCAAGAATAACCCATAAAAATGAACCTATAACTTGTAATTACTAATGGCACTAAGTAAACATCTCTTAGTTTTCTGCTCCCTTATAGTCTTCATGAAAACGAAGATGTTTATTATGTGACAAAAAGCAGTCTTAATCCTTAAATGGTGTACGACTAGGATTTCAATTGTTTGCCAGCTCTTGGAAAATCTCTCTTTCTCTTTCACACACATACAATTACTCACATGCACATATAAAGTGCACACATACTAACATGATATATATATATATATATATATATATATATATATATATATATATATATATATATATATATATATATATATATATATATATATATATATATATATATATATAGCTATATATATATATATATATATATATATATATATATATATATATATATACATATATCAAATCACGGAAAATGAAACACGAATTTTATTTAGTCTTTTTTAGGACATCTTCAGAGGCAACTTCAGTTGCCTCTGAAGAATGTGAACACAAACAGCATCAGATATATATATATATATATATATATATATATATATATATATATATATATATATATATATATATATATATATATATATATATATATATATATATATATACAGTATATATAATATATATATATATATATATATATATATATATATATATATATATATATACAGTGATCCCTCGATTAACGAACACAATTCATTCCACAGAGTCGTTCGTTAACCGAAAATTTTGTTAACTGAATTTATTATTTCAATGGGATATTGGGTAATTGGTTCCAACTCACAGAAAAAGTACATACAAAGTACTGTATACTGGTAATAGAATTAACAAAACATTATATATAAACTAAATACAGTACTGTACTGTACAGTATACTGTACAATAATAAATAAAAAACAATAGAATACAGTATTTTAACTTACTTTGAGGTGTGTATGTCGTATTCCCGGCAGCTTTGTTTACATATCAAACAGTGATTGTAGAGGCAGTCGATGATGACATGCCATATTCTTCACAGAGTGCATTGGTTCTAAAGCTTTCTTCATGTTTCATAATAATTTCTGCATTGTATATTATCAATAAGCTAACTAAATTTCAGAATGACCAATAATTTTAATGCATATATGCAAAAATATTCAAGAGATCAACAAAATCGATGTTCACTCCACTGTAAACAAAGTTAAACTGAGAAGGGTTGTTGGGTGATTCAATCAGCTGATGGGCACACAAAAACTGTTCCCTGTACTGTATATATTATCAATATATTAACTAAATTTCAGAATTACCAATAATTTTAATACAGTATAAATAAAATGCAGAAATATTCAAGAGACCAACTTCACTGGAAACGAATGTAAACATAGAACCAATTACTGTATTGGTGGACTAGCCAATCAGCTGATGCGCACAACAAAACGTATTTGTCGTAAGGATTTCGTTAATCGAAGTTTTGTTCGTTAATCAAACTGAAAATGCTTATGGGAGCTAATTTGTTAACCGAAATTTCGTTAATCGAACCGTTCGTTAACCGAGGGACCACTGTACAGTATAGTCTGGATTTACGCGGTTTTTGTTTACGCATTTGATCATTTACGTGGTGCCTTGCCAGAATGAAAATGCTTTAATTACATGGTAAATTTCATCATTTACGCGGCGAGCGGCTGGAGAGGTCCAGACCGCCGTGCCATTTTTTACCCACGCGGTCCATTCTTGACCATACGTGGGAAGCGGCATGGTGAGTGGTGCTCATTAGGCCGCTCTTACGTTATCGCTGACATCATATGATGTATCGGACTGTGATTGGGCCACGCATCCTTACCACCCACGCATTCCCTCCGCCGCTAGCTGTGATTGGTCTAATGTAACATGACGTGCCCTGCCACCAGAGGGTAGAAGTCGCTGACCAAGCCGGGCCTGTCTCATTGTTCTCAGTCCGCGTATACAGTTCTCTCTTGTGCCCGCAATTCCCCTCACAATGGCTTCCACTGGAACCCACCACCCGAGAAAAACCTTGAATTACCTGGACCAAGCCATGATTGTGTGAAGGAAATCATCGAGTTGGGGGAGAAAATTAAGCTCATCTTTGACAACGACCCAGACAAGCATCGGTATGAAGTGTCTAATAACCTTCTGTCGAAAGTTATGGAGCCGTATATCCATATCTATCTCGACAACATCAATGCTAGTCGTCAACGTCGTATTAAGGACTTCCTCGCCCGCAACCCACCACAACCACACCCAGCCCAAGTCAGTGATAGTGATAGTGACAGTGAGGATATGGACTTGGAGGGGTTTGTCTGACCCATCTCTTCTACTAACCTAAGTGTTAAACACCTTTAGATTTGTAGTTTTTTATTTAGATATTATGTGTGTAGCAATACCACCATAAAATTATGATGTTATTTTTACTACAAGTATGTATTGTGTCGGAAAAAGTGGAGTTTGGGGATTGGCCCAGTCTCTATTTAAATTAATCCCATAGGTTCTGCTATTTTGTTTACGCGTTTCTCGTTTTACGCGGACCTCCACGGGTTCAATTGACCGCGTAAATGCAGACTATACTGTATGTATATATATACTGTATGTATGTATGTATATATATATATATATATATATATATATATATATATATATATATATATATATATATATATATATATATATATATATATATATATATATATATATATATATATATATATATATATATATATCCTTAAGCAAAGCAAGAGGACTTATTTGTTGTCTGAATTTAGTATAAAACTTATTTACTGCAGTACATTAAACACAGTAATAATAAGAAAATACTAAAAAAATAGTAAATACAGAGTATATAAAACTGATCACATGCCACCTATGACTCCCAACCACTAGCTAGCTTTTGTCATTATTTTGTTCATAAACATTAACTCTCATAACAGTAACAAGTACACTTCCTTCACTCATCTTACACTAACATCCTCTCATTATAACCTAAAGCATAGATTTAAATGTGTAGGTATATTTTGTGCTTATGAAAACTGTTCTTAACATGACATCACACCATGATAAAGACTCAATGCCATTCACTTGAGCATACATATTTGAGTAGGGTAATCTCAACAATATTAGTACACAATGGCCTCAACAAACAAATTTGCTGTTTGGCAAAAATTAAATACTGTCCTTCAAAACAGGTATTAATAACATTTTTGCACATCAGATATTTCTGCAATATTAAAATGAAAAACGATTACCCAATCAAATATGCTGAAATGAAGCTTTTACAACATCTCTTCGCATATTTGTTTTGTGCTTAAAATATGTTGTGATTCCTCAAACATGTTATCCATGCCCAAATATAACCACCTTTATTTACACAAATAAAAGCTATGGCATATAATTTACATAAAAGTCAGTTTCAATAATTATACCTATAGTGACTCATGACAAAGTTCAGCTGTGCATTATTCATCATGTGTCTTCCCGGCGTCCTTTAAGTAAGAAGACATCCATGTTATCCTTTCCTTTAACGAATACTTGACCTCGTCGCTCTAATTCATAACGTCTATTAAGAACCACTGAACATTTATTACTCACCTGTATGCGGCCTGCTACACCAGTGGAATCCATTCGTGATGCAATGTTAACTGCGTCACCCCAGATGTCAAAAAAAAGCTTTGTTGTACCTATTACTCCAGCTGTTACATCCCCAAAGTTGAGTCCAATGCGAATTTTTAGGTCAAATTCTATGAGGTCTTGGTTAAAGTCTGCTATAACTTTCTGCATGGCTAAAGCAAACTCAACTAGTTCAAATATATGCTGATGTGCATCTGTGTTACCTTGTCTTACTTTAGCATCTAAACCAGAAGCAGCCATGTAAGTGCTTCCTATAGTCTTTATTTTCTCTATATTTTTGAACTCCTGACGTAATAGAAGTTCATCTAGGTCAGCAACAAGTTCATTGAGGACACGAAGGTATTCCTTCCCACCAAGGTAATCCTCATCATAAAGCTCATTAAAATTGACTATAGATGCAAACATCACAGCAACATCTTTGTGGTTCTCAGAATACTTTGCTGTTGTCTTAATAGAGTCTGCTACATGACGTGGGATAATGTTGTTAAGGAGCCAGTCTGCTTGGTTTTTCATGGTCTGTACCCTCACTTTATCTTTAATAGCCATAACAGATCCATGGAAACTTAGTCTATAACTGATCTCAAATTCTCTATTGAGAAACCATACTAACAATGCTAACAATATTGATGCAACTAGTACTTCTTCATATGAAAATTGAGCCATAGAATCTTTCACCTCTGAAATGGACAAACTGCTATTGTTACTGGAATCATCTCCCAGCTGACCAACCTCTGAAGGACACAGGGTTGGCGATACAAGCACCAGCAGTATTACTGTTGCAACTGTTGCTAATATGTTCTTTATCCAACAGTTTAACTGTGTGAAATTACACAAATGTATTATTGCCACAAAAGCCAAGTAACAAAAAAACCTCCTTGTATAGTTATCAAACTCTGACAGATCACAGGAAAAATTTGACATGACTGCTGCCAGAGGTAGACAAATAATAGAAGCACCACAAATATGCCAAGGGTGCCAAGCTGTTAATTTTGCATAGATCTGTGAAGAAACAGAGGATGCCATCCCAGCACAGTCTCCTCGAACCACATGAGATGAACATAGTACCAACAGGAGTAAGTGCCAGCAAGTTGACAGAAGGCACAGTAAGAGCCAACCCAGTGTGTAAGGAAATAACAAGAACAGGGAGATGCTCACTCCTATGTACACAAGTGCACTTACCAAGATGTCAAAGAAAGTATTAAAATGAGTAGATGCTAAGGTTGGTGGCGAATCATTTCTTGGCTTGTGAGCCTGCTGACGATACTGTTTTTCAAGATCCTCATCCACAAAAAATAATGTCGCATGAGAAAGTGGTGGTGATACAATGTACTGTCGATGATTTGCATCCTGTTGCATACATTTGATCAACTGAAGGTCTGACTGTTTACGCAGCTGATGAAATCGTGTTAGGCTCTCATTAAGGGGGATGCTACTTGGCTCAGCTACACACCCACCTTCACCAGTTTCAACTGAGAAAAGGAAGAAAACATTATTTCTAGAAGAATATTTGGGAGACGTGTACATCTAATCTAAGGATACAATGGTCTATAAATTAAAAAAAAATGAAAAGTTACTTGTACATTGCTTCACTAGGACAGTGAAAAAATGGGGGATTATTCCTGAAAACCCATTGTATGATCGAGATGCGAGTTGATGGTTCATGGTTACAAAGCTCACCAGTTTGTGTGACAGCCACCTGTCATCATAATAATAAACATAAATGAAAGTGCTATTGATGTAGCCACCTTTCCAACTACATCTGGATTCATCATTTCTAAAAGAAAAGAGTCCCTGAAATAATGGCTACAGTGTTGCCATTAAAAGCAAATGAACACAGAGTCGAAGTAACTCTTTCGTGAAATAGCCCCAGACAACCAACCCTTTCCACACCAGAGAGAGGATGGATTTTAGGCTCAAAGCCAAGAACTGCAACCATTCAGCATTGTTCTCCATTTATGATAAATAAAGAAACCTGAACTTCATATTTGCAGATTCAGTGAAGGCAACTGACAGAGTACCACGTGAAGTAGTAAAGGGGGCAATGAGAAAGCTAGAGGGTCAAAGAGTGCCTAATTCTAGTAGTTATGATATTATATGAGGGTTAAAAAACAATTATGAGAGTAAATGGTGAGGAAAATGTGAAATAAGAGGTGTAGTAGGGGTTCATTAGGCATGTCTTGAGACCCTTTCTGTTTATCACAGTGCTGGAGGCAATATCACAGGACTTAGAACTGGTCAACCCTTGGAGTTTGTTGAAAGCTGATGACTTAGTGCTGATTGCAGATAGTGTTGAAGAGGCAGCAGAAATTTTTGAGAAAAGAAAGGAAGGAAGGAATAGGGTTAAATAGCCCAAGAGTAGGCTGTGGAGATTAACAGTAGCCAGTAGCCTGCACTAAGGGCTGGACAAGTGATTTTTTATATCCTTGAGACCGTCACTTGCCCAGCAGACAAGTTAATATTTTGAGAGAAAAATAACCAGACGAGAATTTGTCAGGTGCTTTGTGTCCCCCACCTTCCTATACATGTTAAACCAGTGAGTTCTGTCAACCAGCAAGATGATAGGGAAGGGGGGAGGGGCTGTGTGTGTGTTTGACCTGATGCCATATCATGACAACACAGCTCATCCCTCTTATTTTTATTGGTCTATTCTCACAATGCTTCGATGTGAAAATCTGTATAAAAGCTCCCAATAATTGCTGTGTAATCAGAGTTGTACAATAAATTGAAGCAAAAACATTCAACATGAATAAGAAGCAAGGAAAATTGACCCAGTGAGGGTAAAAGACATGTAGAGACAAAAGTGATCTCTGAGTTGATATAAACAATAAATTTTAATGTTTTAAAATGTTTTATTTGACCCCAAGGTGGTCATGAACAAGTACTATACAGTACTCATTCTATGTACAAGTGGTGTTGTTGGACATTGACATCTATATACATTCTGCAGTTTTGGTCTTCAATATTATTCAAAATGAATGGGGATTGTTTTATTGTGTTCAGATTTGCATCTCAGATCTCATCTTGTCCTGCCCGCCCACTTGCACCACTGTGTGGTAGTGGTACAGTAGAAGTCCAAAAATCCAGACTGCTTGGGGATTGGGTCGGTCCGGATTTTCAGATTTTCCGGATTCTCAGGCAGTACTTTTAAAATTCAAATTTAAGGAGGAATAAAGAAGAGATGAACAGATAAATTTGGATAGTTTATTCATTAGCAAATATAGCATGCTTCATTTATAAAAGAGCAGTTTTAAAGAATAAGCTGTGAATTCTAGAATTTTATTCTTTGCCTTTTTTATATCATAAATTGTAGACTTTTCAATGTCGTATGTTTCCATTAGAACAGTATTGCTCACACCACGTTCTAGTTTCTTAATTATTTCAAGTTTGTCAGTCAATTTCAACGTGTTCTTCCTCTTCACACAACGAAGTTTATCTACTTTAGGAGCCATTATTATGGGCTTGTACAGTACTCTGTAAATGGAAAGAGTAGGACTCAAAATTACATATGTTGTCACAGTTTGATTGCTCGTTTTAAAGTGGCGACCGCTTGGTCGCTTGTTGCCGCTGTGCAGCTGTGGCGCTCATGCATCCAGATTCTCGGGTGGTCCAGATTTCTGGCATCCGGATTTTTGGACTTTTACTGTAGTGATATTGATAATGAAGCCACTAGTGATGAAAGTCGTTTAACACAGTGACACAGAATAGTAGAGAAAGTGCAAAAATGTGGAAGGGGATGAGGAAAGTGAGGAACCAGGTGTGACTCAGTGTGAAGGTGATGTTGGTGATCAAGATGGGGTTGAAGGACCTTCTTGGCTATAATCCCCCATCGTTAGGAGGAGGAGTAGTAAAGATAGTGAGAGTGGGCCAGCTTAAGAAAAGGAGGAGCAGGAGGTCACCATTGTCTCATAGTTCACCCTGTCTCCCTTCATGTGATCATGAGCGTCAACCAGACATAGGCTCCTCACCATACCAGAATACTGTACAGTATTTGTATTGTACTGTATTGATGAAAGTTTCGTGCTGCGGCGAGGCAATATCAGTTTCCAGCAGCAAACAGTATTCCTTCCGAGCAACACTGTTTTGGCCTGAAGTTGTTAGTAATGTGTGTGATTTCAAGATGGGCTACATCCAGGATATAATATAGTACACAAGTGTCACTACTGATATAACCATTTAGCCTATCACTGGCCAGTCCAGGGGGTTGTGAAGACATTTGAATCATACCTTGGCAAGGGACATACCCTGTACTGTGACAACTACTGTATTACACAAGTCCTGTGTTGTTCCAGTACTTACAGGACAAGTCATCCACAGGAATATGCATAAATGCCTTTCAGTTTCATGGCGTGATAAGAAGGGTGTTCATATGTCTACTGTCCACTCACCACATGTTGTGCAGAGCCATAACAGATGCATCGATCTCTAGTGTAGAATGTACCAGAAAAACAATGAAATGGTATAAGAATATGTTTTTATATCACCTGGACATGTCAGTACTAAATGCACACATACAACACCAACAAGTGATGGGAAAGAAACAGACTAAGTGATTATGCCATCCACATAGTGAAGCAATTTCTGGCTATCCACCACCAACCTCTTCTCCCAGCAACACAACAATGCCTGAATGCCCGCCAGTTCACTCACTTCCTGGACTGTGATTGTATCCCTCCTACAGCATCAAAGAAGCACCCAACAAGAAAATGCCATGTGTGTGCACACCCAACAAAGCAGCTTCAGGTGTGCAAAGAAACATCCTACATGTGTCAGATGAACGGCGTACCACTCTGTGTCATACCGTGTTTCAAGGTGTATTACACTGAGGAGCAATTTGGAAACATGTAGAGAAGAATAATTAGTTTGAATAGTGTCTAAGTACAGTGCTGTATGGCCTAAGTATAGAAATAAGTGATTTTTCAATAAATCATTTTCCTCTTCAATGACAATGCTAAAAGAAATATAATTTTCAAAGAAGCCCTTTGCAGAGAACTCTCTCTAAACTACAAAATGGAATGAAGAAAATCTAATGCTGGTTCCAAAGAACAATAGGAAATTAGAATTTTCCAATGGCTTCTTAAAAAAAAGTGTGTGTGCGTGCGTTTTTTTTTTTTTTTTATCATCTGTAAAGGAGAAAATCCATTTTAAATATCTGGGCCGGATACTCAAAACACCTCATAAGTTAAATATATTAGCAAAATACAGTTCCGCATATTGCAGACTCCTCACAGTCCCATAAATTTAGCATACTCAAAATTTAATTACAGTTCCTTAAGCAGTCCGTAAGTTATCATAACTCTAGTGTTTACCCTGTAAATTCAATTCTCTTTCGGAAGGTAGATGACAGTGCAGGAGCTAGTTGGCCAATCAGCGCTCAGTTAACAAAATCATCAACCAATCACAAGAGAAGGAGAAATCAGCTGAGAGCGATGCACGTGATATAAGTTTGCAAACAAAAGATGGAAGGACAACCACCTGAAGAAACGACCAAATTTCAGTGAGACTGAAGTATGCACCATGGTGTGTGAAGTCGCCAAAAGAAAGATAATAATTTTAGGGAAATTTAGTCTGAATTGTCTTCAAGTTCATACAAAAAACAACAATTTAAAACCTGAAAATATATCGGATTAGCTGTAAATTTTCTGAAATTAATACTCTACCCTATGATACTGTTCAAGGAAAGTCTGGAACTAGGCCTAAGGTAGCTGCTAGACAAAGTGTCTCACTGACAGCCTGACACTCACCAAAAAACCATGTACACATTCTTTAACCTAACCTAACCTAACCTAACATACCATAACATAACATAACATAACATAACCAAACCAAACCAAACCTATTGGTATAATTTCTTATTTAAATATTCTTCATGTTCTAACTAAATTAAGTAGGCCCCACGTTTAAACATTTATTTGCCTAAGACTGAAAAAGCAGTTATATAGGCCCCTTTTAATCAAGTTAATTGCAATCCATATTTTATGCCTAATATCATTTAATTTTGGCTAGCCTATGGAAATTTATAGCCTTTCATGTTATCATAAGCCATATACTTAAGAAAATAGGCTAAGGCTATTGGTTGAATATTAGAAAAACAAGGCGAAGTCTAGGCAGGAATGTTCACTTGACCTCATATTTGGCTTTCATTATTGAGGGATATTTACAGCTATAGAACATTAATAAGTTCTATCTGCAAGTTTACTCAGTCATAAACCATATTTTTACCCTAAGTGTGAACAATACAAACCTTCTATTTTGGTAAAAAATACTTTATAATTTGTAAGAAGACAAAAGATGCGTTTCTTCCAAACTACGGCAAATAGGAACACTCAAGCCTCTTATTATCACAAAAAATTTTTTACGAAAAAGACAAAGTGAAATATTATATTTCAGTATGTTGATGTACAAAACATTTTCTTCATTATTCTATGACAAAACAAGTCTAACAAGCATTATTACAACATATATTATTATT